TGGTGGTGGTGGGGGCATCCTGAGCGGAGACTGCTCTAGGAAGTTCCAGGCACCCCAGGAAGGGGGGAGGGGAGGGGCCCATGGACGCTGCTCCCGCCCCCACAGGCTCACCAAGTCCAGGGGCACGGCCCGCATCACCCGGTACTGCCGGCCGGGCTCCAGCTTGTACAGGTGCCGGTCGGTGAGCAGCAGGGCGCGGTCCCGCCTCTTGTTGAAGCGGTTCACCTTGGGGGCAGATGCTGGGCTCAGTGCCCCTCTGGCACCCCCTGCCCCGCCCTGTGTTCTCCCTGCCTGGGCTGGAGCTGCCCACTTCCCAAGTGTCAGGGCAGCTGGGAGACCGCCAGGCCGCCCGCCACCGCCCACCGCTCACCTTGCGGACGTGGCTGGAGAAGAGCACTGCCCCGAAGCCGTCCTTGTCCCGAAGCGACTTCAGGCGCTGAGCGAACAGGCTGGAGGCGGCAGGGTTGTCGGCGGCCTGAGCACAGATGGGGGCAGCTTGGGACGGGGTCTGGGACCATGTTCGACTGGCAGCCACTCTGGGTGAGCGGCACAGCCCCCCTGACCTTGGGAACCCACGTCGGGTGCACGCGCCGCCTTTGCTGGGCCACCCGCTCCCCTGAGGCCAGCACAGACCTCACCGCCTAAGGGCCAAGACGTCAGGTTTCCGCCCTCCACGCCGGCCCCTGCCTGCTCCTCAGGCCAGACCTGGACCTCGGCAGATGGACGCTGAGAAGGCAGCAGCCAGCGGGGACCAGGCCCCCCTCCCCCCCGTGCCAACGCCCCTGGGCCTCTTCTCCTGCAATCCAGGCCGGGGGCCTGCGGGCAGCACCCGCCCACTGAGGGCCAAGGGGAGCTCTGGCCGGGATGCCAACCGAGCTTGGGGGGGCTGTGTCTGAGGACAGGGGTTTGGACTGCACCTGAGATTGGGGGGCGGTGTTCTTGAGAATAAGGGGTTGGCCTTAGAATGGGGGGGCAGGAATGGGAGCAGGGCCCAGGAGCAGGTGCTCCCTGAAGCCCAGGCCAGTGGTTCTGAGTGAAAACACTTAAACTTCAGGCTGGTGGGCGTGGCTCAGTTGACCTATGAACCAGGAGGTCATGGTTCGATTCCCGGTCAGGACACATGCCCCGGTTTTGCGCTCAATCCCCAGTGTGGGGTGTGAAGGAGGCAGCGGATCAATGATTCTCTCTAATCATTGATGTTCCTATCTCTCTCTCTCCCTCTCCCTTCCTCTCTGAAATCGATAAAAAAATAAATTTAGGCACTAACTGATTTGGCTCAGTGGATAGAGCGTCGGCCTGCGGACTGAAGGGTCCCAGGTTTGATTCTGGGCAAGGGCGTGTGCATTGGTTGCGGGCACATCCCCAGTTGGGGGTTTGCAGGAGGCAGCTGATCGATGTTTCTCTCTCATCTGTTTCTCATCGATGTTTCTAACTCTCTATCCCTCTCCCTTCCTCTCTGTAAAAAAATCAATAAAATATATTTAAAAAAATAAATATAAAACAAACCAAAAACCTCCACAATGCCCTAGCCAGTTTGGCTCAATGGCTAGAGTCTCAGCCTGTGGAACAAAAGGTCCAAGGTTCGATTCCCGGTTGCGGGTTCGATCCTCAGTAGGGGGTGTGTGGGAAGCAGCCGATCAATGATTCTTTCTCATCATCATTGATGTTTCTATCTATCTCGTCCTCTCCCTTCCTCTGAAATCAGTAAAACTATATATTTTAAACAACAACAACAACAACACTTAAACTTCAGAGGCAGAGGCCCCTCGGGCCCAGCCTGGCACTCACGGAGGACAGGTAGTCTCGCAGCCAGGCCCGCCGGCAGCCCCAGTCCGGCCGCAGCTCCTGCAGGGCCCCCATGGCGGCCACCTTGGCCTTGATCTGGGCCATGTCCGAGGGAGGGATGTTCTTCACCAGCTGCCGTGCCCGCCACCTGCAGGGACAGGTGCTCAGAGGGGCCTGAGCAGCCCCAGGTTCCCACCCCAGGTCCTGCCTCTCACTCTCAGCCTGGCCCTGGCCACCAGGCATGTCCCAGCCACCCCTCCTGCTGAGCTGCTGGTCACCCTGTGGCCCTCCTCCCGGAGAACTCCTACTCAGCCTGCAAAGCCCCATGCCCAGCCCCACCTGCCACCCTCCCCTGCAGGCCTGTGTCCCCTCTGGTGCCCAGCGTGGTGGGACCGCAGGGTCTGCTACCAACTGTGGAGTTCTGGCCGGTGTGGCTCAGTGGATAGAGCGGCGGCCTGCGGACTGAGGGGTCCCTGGTTGATTCCGGCACAGGCCCGGGTTGCGGGCTGGATCCCCAGTAGGGGGCGTGCAGGAGGCAGCCGCTCAAAGATTCTCTCTCATCATTGATGTTTCCATCTCTCCCCCTCTCCCTCCCTCTCTGAAATCAATAAAGATATATTTTTAAAAGCAAACAAACAAAAAAGCTGTGGAGAGCCGGCTTTCCCGATGTGTCCACCGG